TTGTTGACAGTGTGTGCCGTTGGGGAGTAAGAGCAGGCTGGATCTCGGTGAAGAAAGACTCAATCAGTGTGGGTGGTCTAATTCAGTGACTTCTCCATGATAGGCTCATGAATGTGGCGGTGTCTCAAAAGCATCCACTCTGACATTCCTTGACTAGTTGGTTTCTTCACAAAAACGACCCAATTTAAGGCGGGGCGTCCTCCCAAGCCCACTTGCGTTGCCGATGCAATCTTCGGGCGCAAAAGAAGGGCCCTTCCTCTTCGTTTTCTTCTTAAAAAACCGTGATGGATATAAACAAGGGGCGCCATTTGGGTTCGCAGAGGCGAACTGTCAACATTTAGGTTCACATCGGCAATGAGCATGCTTTGTGGGACGACGTGTCCGTTTGTCAAGTCTTGAAGTAGAAAAGTTATGGAATGTCGATTTCTGTTGATGTTTTACGACTCCGTGGTCACCAATCCAATTCACTTATTCATTACTTATTTTTTACCTGCAATTTTTGTTTCCTCCGATACCCTGGTCTACAAATTTTAGAGATGTACAGTAATTAGAGCATTTCATGTCGTGTTGGAATGAAGAGCGGTCTTCGTTTCAGATACGTTATTTTCCTACTTTATTCATGTTACTGACCTTGAATAGGTCCGTCGTGGAATGTGAGGGATCAACAAGTTCAGCAATCCGCGGTGCCTTTAAACCTACCAGCGTTGAATCTTACACGCATCTGAAGACTGATATCGGGGAGGGGGTGGTATCAATGCCGTAGAATATACGAATCCTTTCACGCCCCGCAAATGTATAAAACTATCAAACCGGAATCATGACCCCCTCCCCCACCAGTTTACTTCATCATTTGAAAGTAAACTTTTTTTATTTTTTGCAATCAATCAGAAGAGGCGAGCGTCGAAGTGGCAGGTAACACAAGGTGGCGTCGCCCCACCTGTTCTGCATGCAGAGCCTGCCATGCATCTTATCACTGTGTACATCATCACAAATCTGACTCGATCCTCGTTAAAATATTTACTGTACTCTAGTGTTCTGAGATGCTTTATCTCATACCGAGCGCCTTAAAGATGAGTGCGCATCGGACAGTGCTGAAACACGACGGATCGACACAATATTTCGATGCTGCACTCGAAGTTTGTCTCGGAAACGTAGCATTTCACCCAGTCGCCTGAACTCTTGCAAGATTTTTGGCATCGAGCAACTATCCACGCAGGCCTTACTCAACTGTGTGTGTGACTGTTTTGAATCCCCTTCTGCGGTGACACGGGAGACCAAAAGAGTGCAATCTCTGCTTTCACGATGATTCCCTTGACTGATACAAAACTTGAGGCGATGACTGTGTGCCGAATCCCGCAGTGAGACCCGTTGCGAGAGCCTCGTTGGAGATTGCTGTTAAGCTGCTGGATCATGGCGTCAAATAACTGGAATCAGGGAGGGTTATCGTTCGTGTCTCAGGTTCCTTCTTCATCGGCAAGTGAACGAAATCCAGAAGCTAGGATCGACAGACTCTCTGGATTTTGATGCTGCAAGTTGCTGCCGCGTAGAGGTGGCTTCTTCACCTCGAAATCGTGGGTTGAGCTCTTGCCGAACGCCGCAACAGATCTGTCAACGGCAGTCTGCGAGAACGAGTGAATGCTCCCCGCATTGCATCGTGTCGAACGTCTGCGGGCATAGGTCCCTCGTGAAGCCCTCGGTCATGGGTTCGGCTGCTCGCTTTCGTGACCCACACTCGTCATATGCAGGAAATGTGGTACCAATGTCAACTCCCCAAAATTTTAGAATCGAAATTTCAATAAATGATAAAGGAATCCATATTTGTGCTGATAATCTTCACTTCTAAATTTATAAATTTATCATGGATAAATATGGGCAAGTAAAAGTACATCAAGTATATATATATATATATATATATATACATATATAGTATTGTTTATAATGATTACGTAGGTTAGTTGATTACATAAGTTGATAATGATTTAATTGAGCTTTTGAATGTAAAATATGGTAAATTCAATAAAATAATAAATACAGAGTAGAGATATTTTGATACCCTCATTGTTATTTTGGTATCTCTTAAAGTTTTTCATAGGTTTTCTTAAGATTATGAAATATTTTGTCATCACCAGACACATTTTAATTGAATAATAAAATGTATATCCAATAAAATTTTAATATAAAAAAATACATGATATCAAAATTTTGATACAAAAAAATTGCATTCAATTATTTAAAATATTAAAAACTACCTTTTTAAGCTAAAAAAAAACACATGTATAAAAAGTAGTATGTACTATTAAGTGATTAAGTTAGTATAGCACATCAACTATTAAAACCGATATTGCTATTTCAATTTGGTATAATAATAATGCTATATTATATTTTAAGATATCATTCTGCAACAAGGTCTTACCATAAAAATATTTTAATTTTTATTTGCTTAATATATATATATATATATATATATATATATATAATGATTGCTGTTTGTCCACAAAAATTACTGATTGGCTGAGGGTATTAGAACCATTTAAAATATGTGATTGGCACATATTAGTTATGACCACCATATGAAATTAGTGATTCAACATGCACTCAAATTTCATCATTTGTTTGAAACCAATCCAAATAAGTGTGCTTGCAAAATTTCACCATATAAAGACAATCAGCCCTCACAAAGAGATGATTATTGCTCACAGGAACACAAATTTTTACATTAGTGATGTTTATAGTCCGAGCATAGTCTCACTCTGTCCCCACCATCCCCCGATCACAAAGAGCACAAAAGTACAAAACAAAACAAATGAAATCAAACTAAAATCTGGACTCTGATTTACTTCAGCCCATTGCAAACGACGCTGACAATCATTTAACTTGCTAAATGGGTTTTCTTTGTTATACCAAGAAAAAATGTTTTAAACCGTATAAGAAATATAAATATTAAATGCATGTTCTGATTTTAATGTGGTTAGACATTAGGACAATAATCTCTAAAATTCATAACATATATATATCCACTATTTTATATCATACACATTTAAATTATCTACATGAAAACTTATTTGGATTAAATTAGTTACTTTGTAAAAATAAAAAAACTTTTGATTGCATCTAATAAATTTAATGGAAGAAATTTTAAACCAAATCAAGATTATATATATATATATATATATATCAAGAAAAACAAAAATTCATTCTATTTAAACCAAATTGGACTTAATATTTTGAATGTCATGATTTTTTTTTTATATTCATAATAATGTTTAGGATTTAATTACTATATTAATAAACTTAAATTTATCATTAAGCTAAAAAAATAATATAAGAATTAAAATATGATTGTGATTTTGATTTAAATAGTAATAAGAGTTGATTCTAAGACACACAAATGTGCAAAGGTTACCATTATCTCTTTGATAACACTAATATAAAAATATCACATAAGTTGTGGTTAGAAATCAAAATTTCATAACTTTTGGTTAAAATATAGTATATTTTTATAATTTAAAGTAGTACTTTTTCATTATATTACACAAATTTAGTGCTACTAGTATCTTTTTTGTATATATATATATATTCATACATTTATTTATCTTAATATAAAATAATATTTTAATTTTTATTACAAACTAATAATTTATGTATAATTAGATTTTAAAAAATAAAAATATTTATAGAATTTTATTTATTTATTAACTGATTTTTTATATTTTGAAAAGTTTATCAATAAAGTTATATAAAAATTCATCTAGTTTTACAAGTGTCATTGTCCAAGTTTCAATTATCACTCACTCAACAGAATAAGTCATAGAACATCATCAATATCAAAATTTGAGATTTAAACAAATAATTAGTCGAAACTATAGGATGGGTACCAAGATCAATCTTTCAATTGCAACCGCTTATCAACTAGACCTAAATCCAACCTGGCATGAATATTGTCCAAATGATCTCAGTTTTAAGATATAATCCTCACAATTAATCAGTAGAGGGAAACATCCAAACTCCCAAGTCAAATTCCTAATAGAAAACTTGAAGATGAAAGAGGAAACATAACGGAGAACATCAAACTAAAGGGAGAGGAAACAAACAGCCTCGTTCAAAGTAAAGAGATGAGAAGCAACAGCTCAAACGATGAAAAGAATGAGAGGGCCAGTTCGTCGCAAAACGCTCGCTGAAGGCCCATTCAGGGACACTAATAAAGCAACAACATTACTAATATTGCTCATCGGAGTGCCAAATGGGACTGTGAAGAAAAAGTAATTAGCCCCAAGGGAACCCTGGTGCCATATTTAGACACTGGAATGTGCGAAGAGGTCCACCGGTTCGGCGTTCGCCAAAAGCATGCTTTCGTAGGCACAAGTCAAATCCTGCGAGCAGCTCCCACCTTCTAAAATTTCTCTGATCCAGTTCTATCCACTAGCCTCGATCTAGGCTCGCCTGCTTTAGCCCCATCCAGACATAGTCTTGCCGTTGCGGTGATGCGTTGAAGGGGTCGCTCGCCTCGTCGGATCGACGACGACACCTTCAAGATATGTATCAAAATCCTGCTCGTCGCGAGCACCTCGAAACATGTAAGAGAACTGCAGTCGTCGTGCAGAATCACGTCGATATGTACCTCGCCTCGCAGCTATGAGTGCAGTCGCCGGAAAATGAACTCGCCCAAAGGGAGGAACAGTGTAAAGAACTGTGCAAGACGAGTGACGAACTTGTTTTTGAATTGACGGTATTCATCGGCGCAGCAACGTGAAGATACTCATCGGATCTGGGAAGTATTGATCTAGATGGTGATGTGAAGGGGGTCTGGGTGGGACGGGTCACGGTGAAAGCACATGCAGAGAAGCGAGACACATGTCGGGGAAGGACGATCTCCGCAGCGTTAAAATAAGCAAAAGAAATAGAGAGTCTGGGTGGGATTCGAATACGCAGTAGTAGAAAAGTCCCATTCCAGGGGAGGGTGAAGATGAAGGGATGCGGGAACAGGTGGGACTGGCGGTGCTAGCCACGTGTGCCGGGTCTTCTTCGCTGTAAGGAGCAACCACCGCGGCCCACGACATTACAAGACAGACTCCGGTCCAAGAGACGCACTTCTCTCTCCCTCTCGAACGTCCAATTCCGTTTCAGAGCCCTGATCTCGTACCAGCAGCGTGGAGATCGCATTTGGCTGCGATCCAGGAGGTCGATCGGTGAGCGGCTGCCTGGAGTGGTGGAGGTGGTGTGAGCTCGTTCGATGAGTTTGGGCGTCGATCCAGGCTTGCAGGAGTTCGATCCAGAGATGTTGGTGTTGGTGGGTGGGGCTGATTCAGTGTAGGTCCCGGCAGTTGCATCGGGCATCGAGGAATGAGTGTAGAATTGGGATTTCTTGTGGGAGGTGTCAGGGTAGGGTGGACAAGTTGACTGTAGCGGTTTTTTTAGAATCGTGCTGGGGTGGATGCACGGGGCTTCCGAGCAAGGGGGATGCTTTTTTAGAGCAGTCCCGTAGACTTCGCCTGGTTTCGTTGAATACGGGTGGGTTTCAGACCGAGCGAGAGCGAGAGAGAGAGTTTGGAGCGTGTGCTTGCTGCTTGTGGAAGTGATTTGTTGAGATCCCTCACGACGTTCTGCCTTGATTTCGACTCGCCATTTGATTGGGCGTATTAGAATCTATGTGTAGGCTTGAAGGTTGTGTGTATTGCTCTGATTTAGGAGGAGATGTGATACAACCTTAATGTCGACGGGCGCGCAAGAGGTGCAGTTGTACCTGCTCATATCCTCGTTCCGTCTGTTTGTGTGGACTTTCATACACTTGTGCGGATACTGTACATAGTCTTCGTGGGTGACCTTCTCGGTGATCGCTTTCATCACCCGTCCTTTCCCCGTGGCTATGGATAGAATGCTCGCTTCAATACACTATTGAACCCATTTTCTCCATCCTTTCATCGTCTCACTTCTTCTGCTAGATCTAGATTTACAACTCATGCAACTTGAAGAGGTGGAACCAATCGTCTTGCGGTGCTGAATCAGGTGACTGTCTATTTCTGTGTCACGCACACTAGAGCCTCTACAATTTTGTTCTGGTAGATGTTCTGCTACTGTAGCATGTGGGCTTGCCTAAACACATTTCGGTTCTTGTTGTAATGCATGTATTCGAGTAATTTCAGTGGGAGCCATATTTTTGAACCATTCCAGTTTCTTACTCAGTACGAAACTGAACATTGTATGGCATCCGGGGCTGTGATGCCACGGGCTATATTGAGATAGTACAGATATATTCGAGATTGAAGAGACTTGTGGTTCCTGAAATGGCCACAGATTCATACCTAGCTCTATAACATAGATAGATCACTCTCCTAGCGGACTACTCTCATTTATAGTGATCGCATTGAGTTTTACAACGTAGCAAAGTCCTTTTGCAGCAAATCCAGGAAAAACTACATGAAATATCGGCTTATGCCCTATTCCCACCTGTGCTGACGAGATTGTTACAATTTGAAGGTGTGTATATTGTCAATACTATCAACACAGCAAGAAAAATGAGGTTTAATGTAAAAGGAGCAACCGGCGCTGCAGCTGTTGCTGCCATAGGAAATTTTCTTCAAGGCTGGGATGGTGGCGCCATAGCTGGTAAGAACCCTTTCCTTTTAATATATGTAAAACACGGGGCATATGTCATGCGGTTCACAACCTCAATTTTTCATGATTGTCGATGTTTTGGTTTATGTAATCATGTAGAAATTGCTGTGCATATGCAGGAGCGCTTCTTTTCCTTAAGCCCGAGTTTCATTTAGAAGCAACTCCTGTACTGGAGGGTTTGGTGGTTGCCTCTACACTCTTAGGCGCTGTAGTCAGTGTAAGCTTGGCCGGCCCAGCTGCAGACTGGTTAGGTCGGAGATTCATCCTATGTATATCCAGTGTGTTGTATTCTATAGCAGCATCGATTATGCTGTGGTCTCCGAACGTGCACGTGCTGATCCTGAGCCGGGTCATAGTGGGGTTAGCCGTTGGATTGGCATCAACAATTTCACCAATTTTGATATCAGAGTCTGCACCAGCCGAAATGCGTGGCCGACTTGGAACGCTTCCCCAGCTCTTGGGATCCCTAGGGCTTTTCTTGGCCTATGCAATGGACTTCTACTTGTCACTGCAAGTCAATCCCAACTGGAGGATCATGCTGGGCGCTTTGGGTGTACCCTCTTTAATCTACTTTTTGTTCTGTCTCTTTGTTCTGTCGGAGTCTCCTCGGTGGCTCGTAAGCAAGGGACGCATGTACGAAGCAAAAGTGGTGCTGCAAAATCTCCGTAATCAAGAGGACGTGTCAGGTTTGTTAAGCTTTCCCCCAACTTGTGAAGTTTTGCGAATCATTTCACAACTGTAATGGTAAAACGAAACACATGCACATGTTCTGACCAAACGTTGTTCTCGTCTCTGTGCAGCCGAGCTCGCATTGCTGGTCGAGGGTCTAGGGGTTGTCACCGAATCCCGCCTCGAGGAATGGCTTATCAAACCAGCTGGCGGAGACGAATATGAGCATTATATGGAAGACAACTTGATAAAGCTATTCGCTGCTGACGAAGGTGTTAGTTGGGTGGCTACTCCCATTGTCGATGACTGGGGTCATGGCGGACTAGCGCGGACCGGCAGTCATGATTTCCAGAGCGTACTTCCAAAGTTAGATACAACAGTTGCATTGTTGGGGAATTTCCAGATGAATAACTATGATTATATGACCTCACGGGATGTCTATGACGATGAATACAAACACGATCGGCGGTGGGACGAAGAAGCTCCTAGGACGCCGAGGTATGGAGCGCAGGGCTATTACTCTGAAACTGACATGGGTATGGTGGAGAGCCGGGATAATGATGACTCGTTGCAGCTTCCGCTTATCGGCGGTAGTGCCTATGGAACTGGCAGATATGGCAATCTTACTCCACGCAGCCGGTACGTGCAATCAGTTCGTTTTCCAAGAGCATGTACTTCGCTTCTAACAGTGACTAGAGTATCGCTTGATCTTTTCTTCCACCTGGTTTTGATAGTTTTGATTAATTCTCTCTGCAGGCTGGCATACGGTTTCTTCGCTCCTACAATGTCGAGGCAAAGCTCAACAAGAAGCACATACGACGATACAATTGCAGAGGCTCTAGGAACTGTAGGTGTAGGAGGAGGTTGGCAGCTAGCATGGCAGAGGGATGGCGAAGATGGTTCACTGAGGAGGGTGTTTTTGAAAAGTGAAGCTGGTGATTTGTCCAATATAACTACGCATGCGCTGTCTGGGTATGGAATAGGTGGTGATTGTGAATCGTTTCCGGTAAATCCCTTCTGCCAACCTTTTGCACTTATTTTCTCATGTTGATTGAATTGATGAATCTTCAGTTATACTTACTTTATTTGTGAGTCCTTCACTTATCAAGTATGAGTCTTCAAATCAGAACTGATCGAACAAGAACACAGATCGGGGCCTTATTTTCCTCAATTGAACTTCACCATTGGAAGCAACACTGAACTTTATCCCTAGGGATCTAAGTAGCAGCAGTACTGATAGTTGTATACGTTTCAGGCTGCTGTGCTCGTGGCAAAAACGGCCCTTAACCCTGAGCTGCTAAAAGAGCATCCAGTGGGACCTGCCATGCTCAATCCTGCTGAGATTGCCAAGCACGGAAGTTCACGTTCATACTTGAAGCAAGCCGGCGTTCGTCGTGCACTTATTGTTGGAGTAGGCCTTCAAATATTGCAGCAGGTGCGTTTTTCGATCGTTTGAAATCTTTGATCCTGAAGCCTTTCATTGGCTACTTGTGTGTTTCTAACATCAAACGCACAAGGAATTTTGAGCTAATCATTGTGACAGTATCGCCTGGTTTATACAGATTTGCAACAAACTTTATTTGTTTACTTATTTCTTGCAAATGCAGGTTAGCGGTATCAGTGCTGTCCTATATTTCACTCCTCAAATTCTGATGGAATTGGGAACTGGAGCCTTGCTTGCAAAAATTGGAATTGAAGGTGAATCGGCTTCTATTTTGGCAAGTGGCGTCACATGCTTACTCATGCTGCCATGCATTTTGATAGCAATGCGGCATGTGGACTCATCAGGCCGCAGGTGTGTAATGTTGCTTTTGCTTTGCCAATTTGAAGTGTGATCCTGTTCCAAATTTCAGTTCCGAGCTCCAAGTCGAGAAGGAACTGAAAATGTGAATAATCTATCTGTATACTTTCGTCAACAGTTTATTCGTTTTCTTTTATGTTAGATTGTTTCCTCTGTAGAAATCCTGACCTGGTTTGGTATGGACATTATGGTGATTTATTTTGTACCCAACAATTGCCGAGTAAACAGTTCATATTTAATATTTAATATTTAAACAGTTCATATTTCGAATTTGCGTGGCTTGTGCGTGCGCAGGCAATTGCTGTTGGCAACGATTCCAATTCTTATCATCTCTCTTGTAGCTCTTGTACTGGCTAATATGTTCCTCCCCACAGGCCTAATGGCTTCAGCTATTTCGTTTATATTTGTCACCATCTTCATCTGCTCCTTCGTTGCAGGTAACGTAGTCTACTGTTTCCCTTTTCTAAGTTACGTTTCGTAGTCTATCCCCGGCTCAGTATTTTATGTGGCGAGTATCCAACAACTCATCATTCGTCTGCACATTTGCATCATTTTCAATGATTTGAAGCCCGTTTTTCACGAAATTCTGCCTCAGGAAATGCTGATCTGTACAACTTGTCTTGATCTCAGGATTTGGTCCTGTTCCCAACATCCTGTGCTCCGAAGTTTTTCCAACAAGCGTTCGTGGCGTTTGCATCGGCATCTGCGCTGCTGCCATGTGGTGCAGCAATATTCTTGTAACATACTCTTTCCCTCTTGTCAGTAAGCAAATAGGCCTCGCGGGAGTGTTCAGTCTTCTGTCTGTTGCCACTGTAGCTGCTTGGATCTTTGTATTTCTGAAAGTTCCAGAAACCAAGGGTCTTCCTCTAGAAATCATCTCGGAGTTCTTTGCAGTTGCCCCCTACAAAAAGGAAAAAGACAAGAATCTAGAGTACTTCTAGACGTGTTCACTAGGAGGGTTGTAGCCCCAAACTCTTCACATCGATGCTAATTTTCAATTACAGGTACACCAAAGAGCACACTGATACTGAAAACAGAAGAGTGCATACAGAAGTGGGCTGCTTTAAACACGATAATAGGCAGGATATGTAATAATGTAACGTGACTAAATCTCAAGCAAAAATGTATATTTCAAGAGTTCGAAAGGTGTTCAAAGGGCACCATTAAATTTCGTCTCAGCTTATTATCATGCAGAGTTAAAGATTCCACGCTCCGAGTTTCAGACATTCACGGATGATGAGCCGAATGACCAAGGTCATGGATAGAACCGTCCAGGTTTAGAATGGTTAACAGATTGAGTTTTTATTGCTCTACAGTTTTGCAAATCAACTGTAGACTTCATGAATATCAGTTACACAGTGGAAACACAATTGATTAGCTACTTGATTTTAGTGATATAAAAACAAGAGTTACATTTTCTTGGCATTCACAATCACATACAAAACTTTAACCAGCATTGTAGCCTCTAAAGCCCGGATGTATGAAACATGTACCAATAAGTAAATACTGTAAAATTGTCGCTTACTCTTCAACGACGATTCACAAATCTGCTTTGCGAATGTTGACGGAACATCTTCATGGCTCACGCCGCCATACTGTTAACGAAACGTACACATTTCTTAAGTCTCTTCACAATAACTCGGTCAAAACTGAAAACCGATTCTGGTGCATAAACTCTCTGGAACAATTGTGTGAAAACTCCGACATGAAAAATAATCGTACTTACAGATGCATCGTGCAAAGCATTTGACTGCAAATATTCCTAACCATGGCGTAAATATGCCTAAGATACAGTACAGAACTTTATCCTAAATTCAACCTATTAGAAAAGTCATAACCTGCAGTAAAAAACTCAATTCAAGAACAGACATCAGCCATTCGAAAACCTTCTCGAAGCAGCTAAATCATATCCATGTTTATGCTGAAGTGCACATGCTGAAAGTTATGACGGCCTTCACTTGAACCCTTTAATGTCAATGCAAATAAAAATCCACCAAGGCCGGTTCTACCCAGTAATATAAATTCACAAAGCAAAAGCCAAAGCAAAAAGAAGACAAAAAAAAATAACAATTGCGATGATCTCGAGGTTGAAACAACTGAAACATTAGATCCAGGTGGAACATGCAAGATAAAACATACCCTGTCTCCTCAACATCCAATTCACAGGGCTAATCTGGTTTTAAAAGACCAAGAGAATTCCAGGACAAAAGATCATGTTCCGAAATAAAAAAAGAGAAAAGATCGAAAGTATCGAGAGCCAAATCAAACACAATGCATTGCGACTAAAATTGGAACCATCGGGTTCGGGATGATGTAAATACACAGAAAAAAGAAAAAAACAAACCGATGCTACGAAACAGATGGCATTGCAAAAACAAGACGAAACTACAAATTCCGCCGAGAAATCTAAACACACCGTCCAGCCCACAACAAAATATCATCTACCAAAACTACAACCGTAGTAAAACACATTACTCGATCGAAGAGATATGTCTCAACAATCCTACCCGCAAAAAAACTTGTCAACCAAAACTAAACAAAAAACAGAAGAAAAAAAAAAATACAACAAATAAAAATATGAATGACGTAACAAAATCCATGCCGGCAAACACCAACAATTGCGATGGGGGAGTATCCACAAGAGCGGTCCCATGCGTGGAAAAGCCGAGATGTAGTGCAGGGCACCCACAACGCCAGCAGCGGAGCAAGTGCGGATGGGTTGGAGCAGAGGGGGTGGTGCGCAATGTGGAGCCAGGAAGGTTGGAGGTGTATAGATTGCGCGGTTGCAATTGTTCGTTTGCACGTGGGAAGGGTGGGGATGTTGCGAAGAGGAGGAAGCGCGTGAAATGGGGCAGGGGTTGGCGGAGGGTGGGGCGTTGGCCGTGGAGCCTTGGGTGGGGAGGAGCGGAAGCGGGAGGGAGTGTGGGCGAGTGGTGGAGTCGGAGCGGTGGCAACGCAGTGAGCGTGAGAGTGAGAGTGAGAGGGATGGGCGAGGCGAGGGAAGCGTGGGGCAGAAGGGGAGGGGGTGGGAGGGAGGGAGGGAGAGAGCAGTGGTGGTGGTTGGAAAGGGCGGGGGGAGTTGCACCATCGCGGTTGCGGGTGGAGGGGAAGGCGGGTATATGGGGGTGGGGGTGGGGAGGGGCTGGCACGACTATACTTGAACAGGATCTGTTCTATAGTGCGTACATCTGATCTGTGTTCTCCAACACAGACAAGACCTTCAACCCGGACGATGATTCAGGGCTCTCCGGCCTGAGCGCGATTGCCGCGGCTGGTGCCAGTGGCCCCCTTGCGGGGGCCGGAGCCAGCCTGCCAGATGAACGTCCCGCCTCCTCATTCCTGGGGGCGGTGATGGACGGAGAGCGTTCTGACGGGCACCGACTGTGACTCCGCGAGGAGTTTAGTTTTGTTTTCTTGTTGTTGTTGATGTTGTTCTTTCTGGCGCCGGTTTTGTGCGGCTGCCCGGTTGGTTGGAAGATGCGCGCGTGGCGAGCCCCCTGGCTTGGCATGTGCGTAGTCGCTTTGGCCGAGTGGTTAAGGCGTGTGCCTGCTAAGTACATGGGGTTTCCCCGCAAGAGTTCGAATCTCTTAGGCGACGGTTACATCAGAGAATTCATCGCAGCGACTGTGCCTTCCCCTTTTGCGCCGTTGTCCCTGTCCTCGACCCACCCGCTGCCTGAACTTCACCTGTTTTTTCCTCTCCCCCCTTCCCTTCTTATTAGTTTCTGTATGCTGTGCTGTTTCTGTGCCCCCACCCCATTGCCATCCCCGCCACCTTATGCTGCAATCCCCCACCACTCACCCTCTCATTTGTTTTCCCATCCATCAAGTCATGCACTTACTTACTTACTTACTTGGTTGTTTGTGAAGTCTCATCAATTGTTATGGATCAACAACCTCTTTTTTCTTCTTTCTTCTTGCATGCATGCTTGGATTTGATGATGGATCACAAAAATGTAGCATGTGTAAGAAACATACTAAATTGACAACCACATCATAAGATTATTAGCAAATTGCATGAATCCAATTCAATCCATGTTATCTATCTATCCATCTATCTACATACTTGTATGCACTTACATATTCCTCCAAAATTGCACCCACACTCAATCAAACAATGATACATAGCATGCACTAGCATTAATTACATTTTGTTGTAAACTGGTTCAATCATGGCCATTGAATCCTCTAGAAATTATCAATATCAACACCATTGGTGGCTCAAATGGACAATTTGATTCTAAAGCCTTTCAATGCTTTAGATTGCATACAATATAATTATCTAGGATTTCATAAAAACACATCATTGATCAAATGGTACATAATTGCTAAAGCATTTCCAAGTCTATAATCCACAATAGTACATTCGAAATAGCTATATTTCCTCCAAAATACAATCTTTTGTTTTTTTCTTCTATTAAGTACATGTTTGGTTATCATATCTTTTAAATCTAATACAAGTTAATATTAAGGATAAGTGCTTTATTTATTATTTAGATGAAATTTGTATCCTCTTTAAAAATATGGATGAATAAAATTTATGTATATATATATATATATATATACATATAAATATTTTTGTTTTGTTAGGATTAAAAGATCTAAGTTTAAATGCTTGGATGGAAAATCTAATATGTTATATTTATCACAAATATGTTTTAGTCTTTATATTTGTAAATGATGGTTTATAAGTGGATACTAGAAGAACACATTCTATTTATAGATTATAAAACTCTAATTTCCATGTAGGATGCTTTATCCTATTTGAAGTTTGTAAATTATTGGCAAATATACATTGAAAACTTCACTCAACTTGCTATTTTACTTGCATAAGTAACTTCCAACAACAAATAAGAATAGAGTATAAATATAGAGGTAGTTTTTTAAGAATTGAAAGTAGTTTTGTCTTTAGCTTGTACTTTATATTGTTTGATTTTTTTTCAAGTTGTGTTTTTACAAAAACTTTGTATGAGAGGCAATTTTATCACAATTAGATATACTTTTTAGACTTCATCATCTTGCTTTTTATGAGAAAAAAAGAAAAAGAATAAAATCAATAATTAAGATTAAATATAAGATTTTCAATAAAGAATTTTTTGCTATTTTTTCTTTATTTATAAAATAAATTAATATCTAAAATTTTATTTTTATTTTCTTAAATGTTTTACAAATTATATAAATCTTAAGTATTTCATGTCAACACATGTCTTAAATTATTAGAAAGCCTATTAAAACATGTTTTATTTTTTAGTTTTTACAAAAATCAAAATTGCTTATTGAATTTGATGTATAGATGTTCCTATCTTCTAATAAAAAAACAAAGTGCTTGATATAATCAACTACAAATTGTCTTTTTAAATCAAAGCAACATTGTTGAATCTTTAAGTCAATGATTCTAAACAATACTACTATTCTTCATGAAGTTTATATCGTTAAGTTCTTATGATTTTATATTTGTGATAGTAGATCATTTTGCCAAGATGGCACATTTTGTACCATATACAAAATCTATTACATGTAAAGAAATAATTAAGCTTTTTCTTGACAATAGCTATCAATATCATAGATTGCTCAAGGATATTATATTGGATAGAGAAACTCAATTTGTATCAAGATTTTAAAGAATTCTTTTCAAGATTCTAAAAGTGGACATAAAGCTATCTTTGGTTTTTTTATCCTCAAACCAATGGACAAACAAAGTGCATAAACCAAGTTTTAGAGTAATAGTTGAGATGTGCCATCAACTACCAAGAAGATGATTGGACAACACTTTCATCATTGATAGAGTTAACATATAATAGTAAGATTCATTCTTTTATGCAATAAACACCTTGCTTTGATAATTATAGTTATCATCCATAACTGAATGCTTTTGACTTTTCAAAAGTTGATAATTTTATGGCAAAAGATTTGGCAAATTATTAATTTGAGCTACATACAATAATGAAGGCATGATTAAAAGAATCTCCAAGATGACCAAAGAAGAATGCAGATGCCTATTCCAAGTACAACTTCAATTCTATGGTGTCAAGGACATGAATCTCAAAGAACCAAAAACTCAATACATTCTTATATAATTAAAAAAAAATAGATATTAACTCAAAACTAATATAATATTGAAACTGGAATTACTATTGTTAAAGATTAGAAAGTCTTAAAACAAGACTTAGGACTAAAAAAGTGTTGATAAGAGTGAAGAAGACTTCACTCCTGCCTCCACATATACAATCTAACTAGAAGCTACATGACAACATTCTATAGGACCTTTGATACATGTCCAATTTACAAGACACGTGTCTTAACTTGCAAGGCAAGTTTTCTATATGTATGCCATATTGTTTGCTTGTATTGCAAGCTATCAATATATGCAATATGTGGCTAATTTATTGGCCAAGTTTCTAACCTATTGTCATGGACATACACATGTAAGCTAATAATTACATGTATAAATAGGTAGAAGTAAGTAAAAATAGGTAAAAGTAAGTTAATTCTATAATATTTATTGTAGAAGCTTCCTAGAAGCTTTATAGACGTTGCTTTGACTTTATAGGTGTCTTTAATTGACTTTTTGGATTAAAAACCTAGTTAACAAGTTGGCCATGTGACACACATGTTGTTAGCTTGAAGATCAAGCTTATTATGTGGCCTAAACATAGAAAAACTTGCCTTGTAAGTCAAGGCATGTATCCTACATAGACAACACATATTGGAGGTTTTATAGAACATCTCCACGTAGCCCTTAGTTAGATAGTATATAAAGAGACAAGAGTGAAGTCTTCTTCACTGTTGTCAACTCTTTTCTTGCTTATAGTCTAGTTTCAAGGGTCTCTAGTTTTCTTATCTTTTGGCAATAGCCATTCTAGTTTCTTTTTTAATATACATATTGAGTTATTTCTATTTTGACATCTTTCTTTGAGAAAAGTCTCACTTATTTATTTGTTTTTATCAAGTGCTTGTCCTTGATACCTATCAATCACATATAGATACGTATAAAGGTGAAATTCTATCTATGAAGCTTCTAAAAAGCTTTTTTATAATATATTATCAAATTAACTTATTTTGACCTATTTATAATATCTATATATTTATTGGAGTAAATATATATATATATATATATATATATATATATATTTGTGACATTACCCTCCTTCTAGAAATGAGTTCTATGAGGAGTAGTGATCACATGTTGAGGAAGTCCAAGATGCAACAAATTATATTTGCCACATATTTTGATCTTTTTTTTCTCCAAAGGTAATTGATAGGTCTTCTCAGCCACTAATAATGTCTTATTTCAAGGCAAAAATACCACTCTATTATTTGAACATTGTTGAAACCTTTGTAACTTTCTTCAAACAAAATATTTGCAACACTATTTGGAGTAGGTTTTACTTCCAATAAAATCACCAAACATTGAGAGTCTCTTCCAAGGTTGTGATACCAAACACATTATATCTTGTCATCTATTCAAAAAAAAAAAAAAAAACATGTCATTCTTAAAGGTCTTCATCTTAATTACATTATCTTGGAGGCTATGATAATTACAATGTCTTGTTTGATAAGTTAACAAATGATGGCTCCTAAGTTGAATTTTTCGGTTGTTGGTTCTCTATCTCTTTAGTGCCACAAATATACAAAAATTACAAATAAAGATACAAGGTCAAATGTAATTTTCTTTGAACTACAGTTCTTTTATACTAAAGATTTGATATCCTTTATCTTGATTTTGATAGATGTTGTTGGTGAAAAGTATCAACCTTCTTTGTTGTATTTGCAAGATTTTGGTTGGCTCCCATGTCCATTCTCTAATACCATATCCATGCCAATGAACAAGATATTTTAACCTATGTTCGCACTACCTTGAATCTAAGACTTCTTCAACCTTGTACTCTTGGTTATTATCTACTTTTATAAGAAGAAATGCCATTTGTTGACTTCTTGGTATATCTATTATATTGTATGGCTCAAGAAAAGATACATGCAATATAAAATAGATATTTATAGACCTTGGTAGGTACAATCAATAAACAACTAGATTAATCAATTCATACATAAGAAATGGTCTAAGTGTACAATAATCCAACTAGTTACAAGGGCAAATGGTCTTGATATTATGACAAAGTAATCATACTTTGTTGCCAACATGGAATTGAAGTTGTTCCTTGCAATAATCATCTGTATTAATCTTTTGTCGTTTTTGAACTTCTTTTAGGTATGCCTTTATTGTTGCATGTAGCTTTGACAAATGATTTGCCAAATTTTTTGCCACATGATTATCAACTTTTAAAAGTCAAAAGTATCAAGTCATGGATGATAACCAAAATTGATAAAGAAAGATGTTTGTTGAATAGAAGAATGTATTGTGTTATTATAAGCAAATTCTACCAATGATAAAAGAGTTGTCCAATCATCTTGTTGATAATTGATGATATACCTCAAATATTATTCTAAACTTTGATTTACTTGGTTTGTTTGTCTATTAGTTTGAAGATGAAAAACCAAAGATAGTTTTATGACTACCTTTAGAAACTTGAGAAGAATTGTTCAAAATCTTGATATAAAT